GCCCAGAACCTACAAACCCTTGAATAACACTCAAGGATGAGATCCAGGGAGATCTAACCAGAGAAGAGACCAGAAAGCTGTGCAGACTCTGGCCCTGGCCAAAGACAGCCCCCCCCCCTCCAGCCCTCCCCTTCCCTTCGTCCAAGGAAGGCCGAGTTTTGAAGACCTTTGGTCTCCACTTCCCCTTTCCCAGTAGTTGCCAATCGCCTCCAGGTTTCGGACAAGGCAAGTCTGTAAAGTTTACTCCTCCGAGCAGATGGCTCCCAACCCATCAAGCAAAGCACAGAACTTCCCCTGGAGGAGGTAGCTGGAGTCTGAGAAAGACCGAAAGCCCAGTTACTCCCCAGCTGCTGCCAGAGAGAGGGGCTGGTGTCAGCCCAGCAGAGCAGCCCAGGAAGATCCCCCGTCTGACCAATCACCTTGCCTAGGTGCCCCACAAGCCTGGACCCGGGCAGGAGGGGCTGCCAGGCCCTCCCTGAAGAGCAGGGAGCCGTGTGGGCGCAGATAGCCAGGAAACACGGGAAACAGATGTGCGTGCCGGGCCTGACAGGCGAGTGATGACAGACGCTCTCTGCAGGCCTCAGATGTCAGCGCTGAGAAAAGAAAGGCACCGCGGCAGCAACACCTGTTCTGGGCTCGGAGGCCGCACTGGGGGGCTCGGCTAGGCGTCCCCACGGTGAGGGGCCAGGGTGCGGTTAGGTAAACAGCTGCACGCTCCATTACCCAGAACGCTCTCCAGACGGAGCTGGAAGAGAGAAGGGCGGCCTGCCCGCCAACTGGCTTGCAGGGAAAGCAAATCAATCATGCAGCCGACCCATCTTGGATGGAGCAGGCCTCTCCCAGCAGCAGCAGGAGGTCCCGGCTGAAATCTGAACACCTGAGCACCACAGAGGAGAGCAGAGACAAAGGGCATGACTTGTCCGCAGGCCGGACAAACGGGACAGAGAGCCAGCCAAGTGGGGGCTTCCTGTGGCCTCTAGTCCATGCAAATAACTCCCACCTCTTAGCTGCTCTGGGATGCGAGGGGGCACATGCAGAGAACATGACCCGTCCCCTCTCCAGGCACCGCCACCTTCACAAGTGGAGCCCCAGAGAGGACAGAAAGGCAGGACACAGTAGAGGCTGGGGCACAGACTCGAGAACTGGACTCTTGGGTCCAATGCTGGCCCTGTCACTCCTAGCTGAGTGACCTTGGGCAAATTACTTGACCTCTCTGCACTTACCTTTTCCTCTATGAAGAGGGCACAGGAGCACCTCCCTACACAGGGTTGTGGTGAGGATTCAGTAAGTGCGAATACAGATGAAGCGTGTAGCACAGCTTGGAACAGGGAAAACATCTTACACAGGCATCATCATCATTATTATGTCCCTGGTGCCACCTCCAGGAGCCTGGCCAGCCGTGCCTCCAACACTGAAGAGAGAGACGACCATTCCCCATCCTCAGTAGAAAGGTGGGGGCCAGGGTGTGTGACATTGGAGCCTGAGAGTGACAGTAAGAGACTCAACACAGCATCCAGTCCCTCAGGGAGGGAGAAAGGAAGGGAAGTGTCTCGTACCCTTGTTGCACGCCAGCTGCTCTGATGTCACAAACCTTCAAGAAGATGATCATCTCCACTGCAACTGAGGCTCAGAGAGGGCATGAGTCTGACCCAAGGCCACACAGCAGCTCCCAGCAGAAGGAAGATTAAGCCCAGGTCTGTCTGAGGGCCAACCTAGGGTCTCTCTGTGGCTCCACAGAGCTTTGTGTATGGCAGGGCCCCTCCTCAGGGAGGAGGCGCCAGGACCCTCACGGGGTAGGCTGCAGCCGCCCCAGCCCAGCCGTGACACAGCCCTCCCCAAGCAGTCAGCTCAGACTTGGTGACTACAGAGCAGGGTGTTCTCCAGGGGGCTCGGAGTCCAGCTGGAGAGAAAAGCCACCAACAATCCAGAGAACACTGGCGACGCTCTCCTTTCTTTTTCTTCCTTCCTCCCCTGTCCTTCTTTCCTTCCCTCTTTCAAAGTTTTTCTTTCATACCATGTAAAGTTGAGTCACTAATGAATAAATGCTTAACAGGAAATAGCTGAGGTATCATAGGAGGTGGTATAGATGAGGTTCTGGAACATGCCGTCCCAGCTAAGTGGTTTCCCTGCGGCCACCCTCCAAAGCCCCAGCCACTCCCACCCAATTCTCAAACCACACGCCAAAGAGAAACACAGAGGATGCACATGAGAACCAAGGACCCGGGAGCTGGCATAAGGAAATGCGCGTGGAGGCCTTGCGCCCTCCCAGGGGGTGCGGCTGCTCCCTGGCCCCTGAGAGTCCTGCCCAGCGGGCCCTCCGTGCGGCTCCCAGCTCCTGCACACGTGCGTTCTCGTTCCCCACGCCCAGCCAGGCACTGGGCTCTCCTCCTCCCGCTCTGTTTACAGCCCTGCAGGAAGTTGTGCTCTTTGTTGACACTTTGTCCCCATGACACTGAAGGCTCTGATCTTGCCACCCAATTCTCAGTGTCTGGAACAGCACCTGGCTCGGAGGAGGCACTCCGTAAACGTTTGCTGAATGAATGGGAGAGGGGGTGGGGAGAGAGGAACGGCAGAGGCTGCATTTCTGGCCTCTACTGACAGCCCAGAGCCCTTACAGGTGGGGTCTCTGCTTCTGTTCCCCTCCATCTAATCAAGCCTGAGACCTACCCTGCTGCCCTCACCACAGACAGGCCTGATGGCCTCGCCACCCACCTGGGGCACTGCCACCGCCAGGCCCTGGGCGGGTCTTCCTGGCCTGTGCCCAGCCTTCTTGTAAGAAGTTTTTATTGCTCCCCCTAAACCCCACTTCCTTTTCCTTATTTCAAGGCTTCTAGTTCGTCCAACCTGACCTCTCCTTCATCCCGCCTCCACCAGACCCACAGGCACGCCTGCCCACCCGAGGCTGCACGGCTCCTCCTTGCCTCTGTGCCTTTTCTCCTGCCATACCCCACGCCTTCCAATGAATAGGAGTCAGAAGACCTGGGTTCGAGAGCCCCCTCAGCCATTTACTGGCTGTGTGATAGTTACCAAGGTACCTGACTTTTCTGAGTCTTGACTTACTCATCTGTAAAATGGGAATCATAGGGCCTCACAGGGCCATGGTGAGGAGCAAAATCAGACAAATTTGCTTTAGAAACAGGGCAAAAGTTAGTCTGACATTCAGCCTTTCCCAACTCACGCGACCCCTCCTGGACAGACACCCGTTTGTGTGTCCATCACGCCAGGCGACCCTTGCCTCCCACCTCCCCAGCCGGACTGAGAACTGTGGCTGCTTTTGTTTCCTGGCGCTCCTGTCTGCTGAGGCCCACAGCTGGCATCTCATCATCCTGAGGAGTGAGCAAATCAACATGAGACAACTCAGCACAGTTTGGATGTTCTGCAGAAATCATGCTGTCTGGGAGGCCCCACAGACGGCACTTTGATTACCCCATGACACACCGTCGTGAGGCCTAAAATCCACACACCCAGCCTGCAAACCAAAGCCTTGCGTCAGATCAACCTGCATCCTAGAAACAACTGCCCCAACACATCAGGCGGACATGAGGGTCCTACTATGATCCAAGCACTTGACTTCTTTGGAGTGTTTAGATACCCCGATTCATTTAATTCTTGCGATGATGCTACAAGGTGCGTTATACAGATTTCCGCTCCTCGGCCAAGGAAACAAGCTCAGAGCGGATAGTAAACGGGCTCACAGGCACTTGGCTTCCAATAGAAAGGACATCATTGGAACCCGGGTCTGTCCTGCTCCAAAGCCAGGCTCTTCCCCCAGTGCTAGCCCTTCTGGAAACTGCAATTCTTTAGATTTCCAGCAGCAGGCGCCACACAGATTTGCCACCCACCACAAATGACAGGTGATACGCTCCTCCATTTAAAACGAGAGGATATTGCACCAAAGCCCCCAAAAGCAGCTCTGAAGTCCAAAACAACACCAGGGGAGAAGGAACCCTGGACAGAGCATGAGACAGAGGACCAGCCACATGAGGGGAGGCAGGCAAATTCGGGCAGGGCCCACTTTGCAGGTGCCACCACCACACAGGGACACATAGGAGGTGGGAACAGGAACCTTTCAAACAAATGGAACAACCATTCTAAACAAGCCAGAGACAGCATTCCCCATTCCCACGTCCTTCCACCGGCCCCTCGCCAGCGGCTCCCGCTACTGGAGTCTGATTGAAACAAGCCGGCCTGTCTGTGGTGGAAATCGGGACTCAAGGATTCATGGCTTTGGTGGCGAGGACAGTGATCACAGCTCACAGATGCCCACTACAGACCCACCAGGCACAGTTTCTGCTTTGGCCTTTGCAAAGCCGGATCTCAAATGAACTGAGCCCTGTCTGGCTCCTCCGGGGCAGGCAGCGTGAAGGCAGGCGCCTTATAAACAGGGCCAGCGCCAGGCCTCCTGCCTCCTCCTGCACAGCTGACTTGCAGAGAAGAAAGGCTCCCTTCCCACAGAGGTCCCAAATCCCCACGCCTGGAAATCTTTCTATCTGCTGGTAAGCGACCAGAGTCACAAAGGAAAAGTGTGAACTTGGGTGGAAAACTCTGGAAAAGCTAAGCCACCAGGGAGCTAGAGTGAAGAGGAACTTCCACCTCTGATGTGTTTGAAACCTGGTAAGTGCGGAGACCTCGCGGTGACCTGCGTGGCTGGACTAATTACCAATGTTATCAGGCGGATGACAGACATGCCCCGAACTTCCTCTGTTTGATAGATTCTGCTGCAAACACACTCAAGTTCAGGCCCATGCCTGCTATTTCCAGCAGTGCCCTATTCTTCCACAAGACTGCTCCTGGCCCCCAACTCCTCGGACCCGCTGCGTGCCCCTGAGCCCAGCTAAGCCAGTACACCCACCGAGTGCCTGCCTGGGGACCCAGGGAGGGCACCTCCTGCTGGAGCACACCCCACAGAATCAGTGCAAACTCCTCCTGGCAGAGGAACAGAAAACATCTCTTTTTTCCCTGCACAAATTTCAGAAGACGAGATGAGAACCGCTGCTTACCTTTATCGCCGATGCCACAGGGGAGCTCCAGCCCATGGGTCCCTGGCGGGTCAGCCCTTGGCCAGCACACACCAGGGTCCCACACTCCACGCAGGCACCAATGATCAGCTGCCGCCCGTCGTCCACCAAAAGGCTGTGGCTTGCTCGCAGGGTGTAGAGAAACAAGGGCAGCCGGGCCACACGCACAGCCTTCAGCCCCAGACAGCGCTTCCTCTCCTGCTGGCAGAAGAAGCACACAAACGTATCCACTTGGTACTGCCGAGACCAGGCACTGACAGCGTGGTGGGCATTGCGTGCCTCATGTTGCAGCCACTGGCCTAGCAAGTCGTGGTAGCAGAGCACGCAGGTGGCCACCAGGCCGGTAGAGTCAGCAGGCCTGGCGCGCGGGGCAGGTGGGTAAACTGTGAGGAAGGGGAAGAAGGGTTCCTTCTCGCCCAAGCGACTGGAGGGGTTCACGTTGAGCTGGAACTCCTTCCCGGGGCCCAGCTCAGCCCCGCAGATGTAGCAGATGGACACGGCACTGCCCTGGGTCAATGCAGGCGGCTCGGAGAGAGCAGGGTCTGAAGCAGGGAAGGCCTGGTGGTACCTTCCCAGGAAGCCCTGCACGGAAGTGATGAGCTCCTCATTCTGGCAGGCCCGGTAGAGCGCCCAGATGTCCTCCAGGACGCTGAAGCACTTGGGGCAGCTACGGACCTCACAGCGTTTGTTGGGGCCCCGTGCGTTGGGAGGACAGGGCAGGAGACTGAGGAAGGGGAAATGCATGGTGCTTCTGGCATTGCCGTTGAGGATCCTGGAGGTCACTGCCCGGGCGTCCGGGGTGCAGTCCTCCCCACAGAGGTAGCAGGCCTCTGGCAGGGGCCCAGGGGGTGGGCCCTCTTCCCTGGGGAGCCTCCTGCCCTTGGAGGCCATGCCGGGGGCGTGGCTGTTCAGGGGCACCACGTACAGTCGCTGCAGGACAGGCACGCTGGCCAGCTCGAAGCTCTGCCACTGCTGCATGAGGGAGGAGAAGCAGCAGGGGCACACCAGGGTGCTGCCACCCTCGCTGATGGGCTGAGCCCCCGGAGGTGGACTATGCAGCCACAGGAAGGGGAAGAAGGGGGCCTGGGCCAGCTTCTCCTGCTTCTGCACGTGGATCTGGTGCTGCGAGGCCGGTGACAGCGCAGACCCGCAGATGTAGCAGCAAAGGCCCTCTGGTGGCGCAGCCTGGCTTTCCAGAGGAACCCGGGGGACTCGGCCACCGTTTTCCTTCTCTTTGGGGCCACAGGGGCGCGGGAGAGGCTGCTCCTTTCGGTCTTCCTCCTCACTGGTGATGTTGATGTCACTGTCCTCAGATAGGCAGTAGCCTCCACGGGACTCCCCCAGTGGTCTGCTCTCCGGAGTCTTGGTAGCCCTGCCTGAAGGGGCTCCTTTCATGCCATCTGCAGGGGCCCCTTGGGCTGGAGGGCCTTGCCAAGGATCCTGAATGCCTCTCAAGACACTGGCCCGGGCTTCGGGGACCCAGTGCCTCCCAACGCCCTTACGCCTGCGCCTAATGCCAGTCTTGGGCTCCCCGTCCACGTGGAGCTTCGAAGGGTCCCCCTCCTCCTCCTCCACGTCACCCTGCGTGGGGGTCTCGGCGATCTGTCCCGGAGGGGGTCCCGGCACCGGCCTCCACTCCTGGCAGCGGCCCCCGCGAGGCCCAGGCCCCGGAGTGGCCCGCGCCGCTGGCGCCCCGTCCTGGCGGGGACTGACGGCGTCGCGCGTGACAGGGTCGGGCTCTGAGAGGGGGTCGGTGTCCGACAGCTCTGAGAGCTCCGAGTCTCGAGGCTCTTCCGCGGCGGCTCGGGAACCGGGGCCGCCGCCGTCGTCGTCGTGCTCGTCGTCGCCGGCCGCGCCGCCCAGCGCGTAGGCGACGTTCCACTCGCGGGGGGCCCCAGCGCCCCCGCGGCGCCCGCCCGCGCCCGCGTCGCACTGGTGGGGCCGCTTAAGCCAGTACATGCGCTTGTCCACGGGCGTGCGGGCGCGCTCGAAGGCGGCCCACTGTTCGCCCAGGAAGCAGCGGCACACGGCGCACACCAGCACGCAGCCGTCGGCCGGGGACAGCTCGCGCGCGCCGGGCGCCGGCTCCTGCTGCTGCAGGAACGGAAAGAAGGGCTGCGCCGGGGTCCCCGCGCCCGCCGCCGCCGCCGGCTGCTTCACCTGCAGCTTCAGCTCCTTGCCGCGCCCGATGCCGCCGCCGCAGATGAAGCAAGAGAGCGGCGCGCCGCCGCCACCCGCCGCCCGCTCGCCCACGGCGGCCATGAGCCGCTGCTTGCGGGAGACCGGCCGCCCGCTCATGGCCGCCCCGCGCCGCCCTCAGCGCCCGCCCGCGCCGCCACCGCCGCGCCCAACTTGGAGCATGTGTGCGCGCCGCAAAGTTTGGCGGCGGGCGGCCGGCGCGGGCGCGGGAGCTCGGCCGCTCGCAGGGGCGCCCCCCCGCCCCCGGCCCGCCCAGCCCCCGGCGGCGCCGCGCCCAGCGCGCCCGGAACGCAGCGGCGGCGGCGGCGGCGGCGGCGGCGGGCCCCGGGCGGCTGGAGCGGCAGCCGCATGTGCGAGCTCGGCGCCTGCCAAAGCGTTGGGTCATTTAATTGGGGAGGAGGGAGGCGGGGCGGCGGGCGGCGCGGAGGGAGGAGGAGGGCGGAGGGCGGAGGGCGGAGGGCGGGCGGGAGCCGGCGGGCGGGGAATCCCTCCCTCGCGCGCCCTCCCCTCCTCCTCCCCCTTCTCCCCCCTTTCCCTGCTGCCCCCCTCCCTTTACTGCCCCCCCTCCCCCGCGTCCCAAACTGCGCACAATAGCGCGCCGGCTCCTCTATCTATTTTGTGTCCAGCCCGGAGCCGCGAACGATGATTCATTGCCCCAATTAGGGGCTCTCTCCAGCGCGCCCGGCTCGAGCCGTCTGAAGGGTCTCCTCAGGGGACCGCGGAAACCCATCAGCGGCTACAGCTGGTCTTTAAGTAAAGGTCAAGCAGGACGCAGGACGCAGGAGGAGGCAGGTAAGGATGTGGCGGGTGTCCCCTGAGACTGAAGAGCCAGCGGAGGAGCTCTCAGGAAGGGCAGCCTCAGCCCAGGAGCCAATTTCATTCAGGGTGCTATGGCCCCTCCTCATTCTAAAGGGGGGACCAAAAAAGGGCCATTTACAGCCCTCAGCAGCCCAGAGTTGAGGGCCAACTTCCAGGGCCCCGTGTTCTAATTTTGGAGCGGCCCCTGCCTCCCAGAACCCATGGTCTCCTAGTAAATGGACCATCTTAGTGACAGAGTCGTCAGCCTGCCCCACTCCATACCACTGACCAGGGCAGAAAGGGTCCAGTGTGTCCAGGGCTGTGTGTTCCAGGGCAAATGACTCAACAACTCTGGGGCCTTTCTTTCTCTTGTTAAACAGGAGCTCTGACAGGAGATTCACTGTTTTCATATATTTATTGCATATGTGAATAGATGCATTGTATTTCTTTAATATACCAAGAGAAACCTTAGCATGTGCCAAGGTGCTTTTCTAAGCACTTTATCTGTATCAGCACAGTTACTCTTCCCAGTAACTTCGGGTTAAGTGTGATGAAAAGCCCATTTTACAGATGAGAAAGAGGAGGCACTGGGAGTTAAGTTACTTTTCAGGAGCGGTGGAGCAGGGATTCAGACCCTGTGCTGCAACATCTGGTCCCCATCAGCCTTCTGCTGAAAGAGACCGCCTGTGGCAGGGAACACGGCAAGGACCCCTTGGTACCCCTGCTGCTCTGACTCAGGCTGGGAGGCCTTTGCACATCCAGCCCTTTCCCATCCTCACATTTCCCATCTGTGAAATGCCACCCCTTCCAGCCTCAAAATTCTATGAGTCTCTGATTTCCAAGCAGGTGACAGCTGTCCCAACCTGCCAGCTGGAGCCCAGAGGGAGCCTGGGGACAAAGGTGCCATGTGGGCCCTTCTGCCCTCCGGGGCACTGACATGTAAATAAAACTAGGCTTTCTCTGGCACAGAGGAGGGCCATGCATTATAAATAAATGGAACAAGAGGAAAGGGCCACCTCTTTGGAAACCCTGGTGGATATTCCAGGGGTCACAGTCCAGGGGTGAACAGGAAAATCATCATCATCGCCAGAAATGCAAAACTCAGGCTCTGACCCAGGCCCATAGAAAAGCTGTGTCAGCCAAACTGTCCCAAAGGAATGCTGGAGGCAGAGCAAGAGGTTTCCCTGCTTCTGGCATTTTTTAATACCTGGTGAGAGGAGATATAGTTAGAAAGCCTTTGAAGTTAATTGTGTCCTAGCACAAATACCAAGCCCCGCACAGACCAAGAGGTTGCTGGTAAAACAATGCCAGCTTAGGCAGTGCAGGTTTACTGTGGGGTTACTAGTGGGTTCTTTAAGGCTTGGCACGTGCTGTTCCTTCCACTTCAAGTGCCTTTCCAGGCTCTCTTTTCCAAACCAGCTCCTCCTCTTATCTTTCTGGTCTTGGCTGCAGTATCTCCCCAGAGAGACTTCCCTGCCTTCTCCATTTCAAGTAGGTCCCTCCTGTTATTCTCTGACTCAGCTCATTGGCATAGGAATTTGCTGTTGATTTTATTTTTCTGTCGACTTTTCCCTGTCTGGCTCCCCAGGAGCCTGGGTGCTCCCTCCCTTGGGCAGGAATCAGGTCTGTCTTGTTCACTGTATATCCTGTCCCATCTCTCTCCAGCGGAGTGAGGGTGGGGCAAACCTCTTAGCTCCCTAAACCTCAGTTTTCTGCTCTGTACAATGGGATTTTGGTCCTCACTGTTTTTGTTTGCGTGGATCAAATGAAGCAGAGAGTGCAATGCTCTGGGCATGTTGTAGGTAACAGTGTGTGTGTGCTGACTCTTCCTGGCTCTCTCCAGGGGTTGAGGAGGTTCTGCTACTGCCTGTCTGCAACCTGCGGTGAAGGGGACACTGTGACGCGGCCCCACTCAGAGTCTGAAGGAGGAGAGCCACAGAAGTCAACAGGATAACAAGAGGGAGGTGGAATTTTCTTGGCTAAACTGAAATCATCCAAGAGAAGTTCCTGAGTATGTGCCACATGCGTGAAAGTGTATGTGTGTTCATGGTTGTGTGTGTATATATGTGCTAATGTATATATACATGTACATTCATTCAAGTGCATGTGCCTGTGCTTGCATGTGTGTATGCATGTGCTGGTATGTGTGCGTGTGTTCAAGTGTCTGTGTATTTGCTTGTGTTGGTGTGCATGTGCATGGGTGCACATGTGTTCATGTATGCGCCTGCGCATGCATATGGAGCAGGCCAGGAGTGGGAGGAGAGAGACATCCAGCTGGATGTTTTTATTTCCTTCAATGACCCAGTGACTCAGGAAAGTCCCCCGCCATGCACCTCGGGAGCCAGGAGTGGGCAGGCACAGACCAGGGGAGGAGGAAGGCAAATGATGCTAGTTGGTCATCTGTGGGTGGATGGCACCTGGGTGAGGCCACTGGCACAGACTGACATAACAGTTCTGTCATTTACTAGCTGTGAGGCCTTTACCTGCTACTTAATCTCTCCAAGCCTCAGCTTCCCCGTGTATAAAGCAGGGATAACAAAACAACAAGAGAGCTGGGAAGAGGTGAAGCGAGGCAATCCCGGTGAAGCACACTCTCTGAACACAGAAGTAGCAGAAGAGTTTGGTGCATCAGGGACCTGTGCCTTACAGGTGCAAACTCACCAAATCTTTACCAGGAGCCCATGAGGCAGGTTCTGTTATATCCCCAGTGTATAGGTGAGACAGAGGCACAGAGAAGTAAAGGCCCAAGGTCACACAGCTTGGTGGCTGTCCCCAGGCAGCATGTCTCCATAACTCCCTGGCTTTGTTAGCCATTGAGATTAGCTTTGCCTGAGTCTGAGATGGCAGCTTGTTTAGGCAGGAAGGGCCTACAGAGTCTCTTCCTCCCTCTCGCCACATGTGTCCCTGGTTTTGCAGGCAAGGAAACTGAGACCCTGACGGCTTTGCGCCTAGACACAAAACAGGGGAAATGTGCCAAAAGATGAGAAATGTCAAGGCTCATTTCTATTAATGTCTACATACCAAAGTAGACTCAAATTACCAATTTCTAAGGGAAAAGTGAGAAAGGCTGAGTCGGGAATGAGCCACCACACTGTCCCAGAGCCACAGCCTCCCGACCCCAGCAGAGCCATCTCCTCCCTTCTCCCTGAGTCTCACCAACCTCCCTGCAGCTCCCCCCAGACCACGCGATGCACCGCCCCAGCTCTCTCCACCTCTCTCTCCCTAGGACGCAAGCATAGTGGATTTGAAAAGCCACGACAGATGCTCACAGGCAGACCCAGCGCTGGGAACCTGGAGGAAACACCTGCCCCCTTGGTCCTGCAGGAGCCCAGAAACCATCAGTGCGGAGCATCTGGGCATATCTCAGACTTGTGGCTTCCTGCAGGGTTGGCTCAGAAGCTTCAGGAATCTGCCCTCGCCTGCTGGGAAAGTTAGTTTCCAGGATCCAAGCACTTAGCACAGGTGATTTTATATATTTGTCTCTGGGCCTGTCCTCCCACCAGACCAGAACCTGGGTGGCTTCCCTTGTCCCGTGCCGCAGTGTCTCAAGGCCAGGGACACAGTTGGGGCCCAATCTATGCTTGATCCTGGGATCCCAGACTGTATCCCAAACTTCACCATGCCTTCCAAATTCCAGGGTAGCCCGGCCGCTCCTGCCGCCTTCCACTGCTCTGTCTTCTGGCCTCTTACCCTTCCCCAGTCCCAGTAATCCAGATCAAAGTCTCCCTGGGCCCCAGCTTCTCTGGACCCCAAAGCCCCACTCCCTTCTCACTGGAGCCTTTGCCTGTTTCTTTCTCCCTCCGCACTGCGCATGCACCTCTGGCATCTCTCCCAGGACCCATTTACCTTCCTAGGCTGGCCCATCCTTCCTCTTTTAGAGGCTACGTGTGCCGTGTGTTTGGCCTCTTGCTCGCTGGGGACCAGAAAAACAAAATTTATCATCTGACTGCCCTATTTTTTTCTTTCTTTCCTTCCCGCCCCCCACCCCGCCCTCAAGAATGAAGCAAGCACTTCTCTACTCTCCTCAGAAAGAGCTTCAAATATAGCAGGCCACTGGCAAAAGTATGTTCCTCTCAGAGGAAGGAATGCAATCGTTACCAATAAAGAAAAACACAACCTGGGATTTATGGAGGCCTTGGGTTTATGAACCATTTCACACCTATTAGGTCGTATGACATAGTACAGCAGGAATCAAATCACCATCTCCAGATGAGAGATGAGGAAACTGAGGCTGAAGGGCACAGTTCCTGGGACCAAGGTGAGCTCCCAGCGGCTGGGGTTGGTGAAATTTCCTTGCCTTTTGTATGTGTAAACTGTGCTAGCTTATTCAATATAAACATTAAAAAAGATGTGTGTTTGGTGACCCTATCTTAGCATCCCTTCATTTTTCAAATACAGTAGCCTCCAAGAGTGGCAGCGGCAAACCACTTTCCATATCTGGGTCCTGAGATGACCTAGGCAGAGGCATTTTGTAAACTGCAAACTGTTTAAAAAAAAAAAAATCACTTCTTGCATTACACAATTAAGATCAGAGCATGGGATACAGATTTGAAGAGCAGAATTGGGTGCCCCTAAAAGTTTCCCTGGCTCCCGTTAACCTGGAAAAAGAATCTAGAAGCAAACAGCCCAGTCTCCCTCTCCGGGAGATACCATTCCCCCAGCTTCCTCCATCCCCAAATCCCAGGCTATTGCCGTGAACTTCAGGGCCTCGTAAAACTCCTTTGATAAATGATCGCCAGGGTGGACCTGCCACTGGGGATGATGGGACAAACACTCCACATAAATCTTGAGTGTGCTCAAAGGCTCCCTTGCTGCTGGCTTCTCAACAGACCCCTGATTTGCAGCACAAAATCCACAGCAATCATTTGTGTGGTTAGCTCCCAGGCTTCCGAGCCAGGGAGGTTTCTGGAGGAGGTAGGGCATAGGTGTGTGGGGGAGGGGTAGAACAGACATAGAAGGTAACGACTTGGAACTGCCTTAGCGGTGCCGGGCATGCAGTAAGCGCTCAGTACAACACAAACCAGTTTGTGTCCTCCATTGTGAACAGAGAGCAGCTAATGTTTCCTGCGTACCAACTACTTGTGAGGTGCTACATCATTCAGAGCTTATATCATCATCTAGATATCAAGACAGCCTGAAAAACAGGCATGTTACCCCGTTTTACTGATGGGGACACTGAGACTGGGAACGTTGAATGCACCTCCCAAGATCACAGAGCTGGGAAGTGGCAGAGCCGAATTCCAACACAGGCAGTCTGGCCCAAGACCCTTCCTCTAACGTGCACTGACACGTGCCCAGCCTGCCAGGCCAGCCTCCCCTGATCCTTCGCAATAAAGGCAGCCTTGTCCCTGGCTGGGTCCTGCTAGGAAGGCCGTTGGTCAGGGCTGGACGACTTTGAGTCCGGCCAAGGGCTTGACCAATGGCCCTGCCCCAGCCTGGGCTTCCCTAACCCTCAGCAGCCAAGCTTTCAGGCCCTGGAACACACTCAGTGGGCTGCAGCAGGTCCTCGGGGCCGGCTAACGGGGGCTGGGACGTCAGCAGCAACAGATTCTTTCCAGCTGTTACTCTTGAGTCACTACAGGATATTCCAAAGCCTGACCGCTAGCCTGCCTGTTCTGCTCTTTTATTTCTGCCGTTAGCTGGGGCTGAACTCATTGATGGGGATGTGAACCAGGCCTGAAGCACGTCCAACGCTCCACTGGGGTATCATTTCTTAAAGACCTTTAGTTGAAGTGCGACCGCCATACAGAAAAGTGTGTCATCATATGGGCACAGCTTGTGGAATTGTTACAAATGAAGCAGATCTGTGTGACCAGCACCGAGAAATAAGGCCTGTCCAGTCTCCCAGCAGCGCCTTGGCTCCCCCTTCCAGGCCCCCCCCCCCCCCACCAAGGCTAACGGCATACAGCCAGGACTCCAGGCGTCCTGACTTCTGGAGTCCTGACTTCTAACACTGAACTGGTTGGTTGGTTGGTTTTTTAGCAGCTTTATTGAGATATAAGTCACATACCACATAATCCACCAGTTTAATGGTGTATAATTCCATGGCGCTTAGTATATTTAGAGTTGTGCAGCCATCGCCACAATCAATTTGAAAACACTGTTGTCACCTCAAAAAGAAACCCCATTGCTTTTAGCTGTCACACCTCAGTCCCTCAGCCCCTGGCAACCACCAACCCACTGTCTGTCTCTGGATATGCCCATTCTGGATGTGTTATGTAAATGGAATCATCCATATGTGGCCTTTCGTGGCTGGCTTCTCTCAGCAGGATGTTTTCAAGGTTCATCCATGTTGTAGTGTGTGTCAGCACACACGGTCTTTGTACTTAATATAAATAGAAATATATGTATTCTTTGAGTGTAGCTTTTGGCTCTATATTATGCATGTGAAATTCTCCCCTGTTCTTGCATATATGGGAACTTGATGCTTTTTTATTGCTACATAGTATTCCATTGATGAATATACCACAACCTCTTCAACCATCCCACTGTAGGTGGGTTCTCATTTTAGGCTAACATGAATACTGCTTCTCTAAACATTCTCATCCATATCTTTTCTTGAAAACACACGAGGCGCCCGTGTTGGGTAGATACCTACAAGTGGAATTGCTGGTCGTGAGGTAGGTGTACATTCGAGCTCAGTGCCTACTGAGCTGTTTCACACCACATTTTCCAGGGTGCCCTACTTCCTGACTCCTCCTTTCAGGGGCCCACCCACCAGCCCAAGCCCATGGACCACATCCCTGCAGGCAACCACCCCTGCCGGCCACCACCCCTGCCTGCCCGAGCAGCCCCCGGGAAGCCCACGTGGGCTGCGGAGGGAAAGGGCTTGGTGGCCGGCGTTTTGTTGGGTTGTGTGAGCACGCGTGGTTTCCCTGCCCTGGCTCTGAAACTATGTTCCTTTCACGGGCCAGAAATACTTAGGCATGGCTCACTCTAAAAGGGGAAACACATTTTAAAATTCCAATCTGCCCAGCTGTCGAGAGGACAGCGCTCACCAGGAACAGTGACTTACAGTCCCTGGTTCCCACTTTGGGCCCAGACTCCACTCCCTCAGGGGTTCAAAGCGTATTTCTTGTGTGCCTGCCCATCCCAGGGACTGGGTCAGATACTGCACAGGGCCCATGAAAATGGCTGGCAGGATGGTACAGTGGGGCGTGCCTTAGTGTGAGGAGATCCCAGACCCCTAGTTAGGCAAGCTCTGTTCTAAACCTCCATTTATTGTCCATTTAATCCTTTCAGTGACCTGATGAGGTAGGGGTGTGAGTATCTTTCTTTCTACTTTATAGATGAGATGGAAGTCCAGAGAGGCTAGGCTACTTGCCCAAGATCACACAGCTTCTAAGTTGCAGAACTGGAATTTGAACCCAGAGCCTCCATTTTCAAGTACTGTACCACATTGCTTCTAGATTTGGTTAGAAACCTCATCCCTGCCATTTCTCCTCTGTGTGACCCTGGGCAAGTGGCTGAACTTTTGAGCCATATTTCCTTAGTTCATATGAGTGTGGAGAAAAGCCATGCCTAGCCCCCCTCTCCTCCATTGCCATGGGGAGGTCAACGCCAGAAAGCAGAAGCGCTGTGAACAGAGCAGGTGCCACACATCGGTCCCACATCTCCCCCTGCCGTACCCTGAAATGGTGCCCGCCCTCAAGAAGTGCATGCCCTCTAAAGCATACATTGTGGGAGACAGTTGAGACTTTGGATCATCTTCAGCCCAGCCTTTTCCATAATAGGTGGAGGGTCCAAGGCCCCGGGCAGCCCTGACTCCTCCAAGGTCATGCGCAGCCTCATGGAGAACTCTCAGCCTGAAGCCCTTCCACCCCTTTGGAAAATGGGGTTCATGGCTTTGAGGCCAAGGCGCCCTCACCCGAAGTCACTCAAGAACTTACTTCTCCCTGAGTCCACCTCTTCCTCAGGGTCCAAAGCTTAGCTCACGTGATGGCAGCTCTGGTTTTAAGGGAGAACCAGAGCAAGTCGTATGCTCTGGTGGTCTCCTGGGACTCCAGGCTAACCCCCCAATGGGGTGGGCTGGGGGCAGGCAAGGAGGCTGGGAGTCAAGCCCGGTGTCCCGTTGCGACTCTGGCTGGGCACCACGACGCGCCTTCCAGAAAGACTATCTCCCAGTGGGGCCACCCGCGACCCTGCTCAGCCATTAATATTTATCAGACCTGAAAGCTGAGCCACTGGAGAAGTGAAAAACAGCCGTGAACAGGTGCCGCAGTGGCTGGCACCCCAGCCCAGGCTGTGGGCAGCTGGGGGGGCTTAGTGAAGGTTAAAGGGGTGGATGAGGTGGGCTGAGCAGGGGGCCTCCTCTGGGAGCAAAGACCTCAAAGGAGGGAAGCAGGTGATCAGGATGTGGACACCTCATTATAAAAAGCTGGAGGTCTCTTCCTGCTGTGGGTGTGTGAGGCCAGAGGATGGGGAGGACTTCGAGGGCCCCTGGCCTGCGGTGAGGACCAGGAACTAGGGGATGGGTTTGGCAGGGTGGCTCTGGCTGCTTCCCCTCTGCGGGCACCTCACCTCTGCTCCCTACCCAGGAGACAGCGTGGTCTTCAAAAGTGCAAATCTGGTTGTGGCTTCCTTACTGCTAAAAATCCTTCTCAGTTTTCGTAGCTCTCGGGTCGGAGAATAAACTCATTGTTTGCTGGCCCCTGCCCATGTCTCCAGGAGACCTCAGGACCTCTGAGGCCCTTGCACCTACCTAAGGGACACCATGCACTTAGCACCACAGGACCTTTGCACGTGCCATTTTTATGGCCTGGAACTTGATTCCCTCCCTGTGCTTATTTAATTCCTGATTGCCAGGCATAGCCACTCATCGCCCTTCTGCTTTGCAGGCGGGCCCTGCAAATGGCATTTCCCAGGTTCCCTTGCCGTATGGCTTCCCACTGTGTTCAGCCAATGGAGACCAAAGGGCAGGCGGAGGGAGAAGCCAGAGTATTTCTTCCTCTCTCCTTTTCCCCCACTCCTCCACTTTCCCTCTCCCCCTCCTCGTCTTTCTCCTTCTCTATTCTCAGCACCTCCTCCCGCCCCGCCTTTAGGCAGTGTCTCTAGAAATGGCCACATTTTCTCTGGGGCTCCAACAGCTCCAGTCACCCTCTCTCTCCTTTGTCTCTCCAGCCCAGGGCGATGGCAGCTTCCTGTACTTCCTAATCTCTGCTGTTTGCTCTTGCAACTACATCATCACTTTTATAACCAGGTCCCTTTATTTAATTCTCCCCTCTGAGCCACCTGACACAGGTGTCCTTTCCCTGACATCACTTGGCTCATCCTTTGGTTCCTGCCTGAGGGTCAGACCTCATAGGCACCTTCCTGGCCCCTCTGGCCTGGCTCAGGAACCTCTGGGATATACTAGGTG